ATTGCGTTGGTTGTCGGCATTGTGGTGCGGCTCGTACCCGTATCCTTGCTGTCCACTCCTGTAAGGTCGTCAGTTTTGTGGTGCGGCTCGTACCCGTATCCTTGCTGTCCACTCCTGTGATGTCGTCAGTTTTGTGGTGCGGCTCGTACCCGTATCCTTGCTGTCCACTCCTGTAAAGTCGTCAGTTTTGTGGTGCGGCTCATACCCGTATCCTTGCTGTCAGCTTTTGTCGTCCTCACTAATTTATTCGGATTCCTTGACGTTGTCCCTGAGGCTGAGACCCTGTTTCCCGGAGCTTTTGGCCCCAATAAATTGTGTGCCTTGTACAGTGGAATTGTGTATCGCCGAATATCACCAATATATTACGAAAAGTTCCTCGTGTTCATTCCTCCTCTATCCAACGCAAGGGAATTTAGAGCCGGACCAAAGAGCGACTCTTTAGCCCTTGTGTTAAAACCAATACGCAAGTCACCGTCAAGTCGGCACGCTACTCGTAACTATTTCGACTTCGAGGCGGTGTTTCTGTTTACACACACAATATAAACTAGGGACGAACGTATAAAAAGCGGGAGAGTATCTTTATACATGAAGAACGTGCCAATTTTAAAGTTATTCAAAGACACTACATGCGGATTAACATTCGGAAGGTATTAAATAAATAAAAATAATATGCGCTTAAAAATTAATTTTTAAAGACAACGCTTCCAAAGAGGCATTGTCTCCGATTTTACAAATATGTACAATGAATTTCTAACTTTATTTGCAAACATGAAAAAATTAGATTTTTAATATTCAAGTTTTTTAAATTATTTATTCTGTCAATTAATTCAAGCTTTGTTTCTAACTTCACGGAAATGTGCAAAATTTCAGATCGATTGGACAATTAGAAGTGTGTTAAATATCGATTATAAGATTTGTAGAAGACAGCAAGAAGTGAAGTTAAATAGAAGTGTTATAATAATACACATGGTATTTTTCTTTTGTTTTTCATTTTGTTAATTTAAGTTTTCATCTTCAATGTGAATTTTAGTTTTATAATTGCTCCTGCTTGTCTTATATAATCTTGAACTGACGATGTAGCTGGACTCCGAAACGTTTTCTCAAATAAAGAAATGGTAAATTTTCTAGCTTTTTCATTTTCTTATAAATTTTTAACTCATTCACTGATCTAAACTTTCTTGCAAAGAACAGAGTAACCGTAAGATGCCACCTGCTTGGACTTCCAGAGGTGGAATGAGGGGTCCATCACAACAATTGGTCCATAACCTGTGTATGGGTCGTTGATGAACGTAGTTCCGTCCACAAACACTCCCGATGCGGTGACTTCTGCTCCGTTGCTCCAGACGAACTTGCCGCCGGTCAGAGTTGCGGTAGTCAGCACTACCGGCATCCATCCGAAAACTGGAGCCATGCAAACAAAGTGGTATCAATCAATTAGTGCACTAAACATTCCAAATTTTTATACTACAGAGTAACACAGACAGGTTTTATAATAAACTAAAATGGTTTTTAATTAATAGCATTTGACACGAGTATAGTTACAGAAACACTTTTGTTTGATTGCATGAAACACAGATCGTAGTGGTCAACAGGGTCATGAAGGTAATCATAACACAGATCGTTGTGGTCAACAGGGTCATGAAGGTGAGCACAAATGAAGAAATATCAGGTTATTGACCGACGTATGTAGCCAGTCGACGTCAAGCCCACGTATATAACCTCAAAGTCCAAGACGATATTTAATTAACAAGATGAGCCTAAAGGTCCAAGATGACAATTTTATGTTTTTATCATGGCTGGCTGCGTGTGTGGTGCTCGGGTGGTTGTGCTCGACATTTACCAAACATAACCTTCTCAGGCTGACGCAGAGTTTCTCGGTAGTTTTTGTTATGCTTTCAAGTCTCGTAGACTCACACATTAAAACAACTGATAAATACATAACAGAGCAACACTTATTTACAGTACATATGCCATCTAATTAACCCATTCTACTCGTCCTTCCACTTATCACCCACCTGACTTAGGGTGTGTGAGACTACCTGTTAAAATAGATAGTTCGGTATTTCAGGCATACGGGGTTTTAATCGTACCATACGCCAGACAGACTTACCAACAAACAAACTAATGACTTATTTTAAAACATAGTACAGATATATCGTACAGGTTTCTTGATAATCCTCACGTACCGACATTCGCTTTGACATTTGCCAAGTCGGCCGCTGTCAGGATGTCACCAGGAACTCCGCCACTTTTCTGGCACAGAGATGACATCGATGACATCGAAAGATCGGTTGTGGTATCGCTGGTTTTGTAGAACGTGAACACTGGTTGAGTAGTAGTCGGTGTAGAAGTTGGTGTAGTAGTCGGTGTAGTAGTCGGTGTAGTAGTCGGTGTAGTAGTCGGTGTAGTAGTCGGTGTAGTAGTCGGCGAAGTAGTCGGTGCAGTAGTAATCGCAGTTGAGGCTACGGACGTCTTTGCGGTTGTGCTTGACGTCAGCAAAGCTGGAAAATTAAAATCTTCAATTGAATTAGGAATTTTTCGGTTCTTGTGCTCCTCTTCAATGTTCAATCTTACGGTTGTCTTGTTAAAACACATAATAAACACTGTCTCGCTATTCAACCTTCCTCCAGTGGTCCACTCGCATTGGTCGATCACTATGGCACTACTACCTCTAAATTAATCATCCACCAACCCACATCTTCACTGTACCAATTAAGCAATTAACAGGGGACTTACAGTCAAAACTTCTATAAGTGAACTTTGCGGCCTAAGTTCACGTAGCGCCCGATTTATTATGTGTGATTGGTGGCTCATGCTTGAGAGCTTGAAAATCTGTCCAAAATTGGCTGGAGGAGTTATACAAACTCATAAATATTTTCAATATGGCAGCTTCAGCAGATGAGGTCTTCCAAAACAAATCAACCTTTCAGCTTTGCTTAAACTCCTTTAAGAACACTCCTTCTTCAGCGAAATCCCGGTCCGCTTACTCTTCCCTTCATTAATCAGAGTCTGATTATTTAACCGTATACTGGCCAATAACTTAACGATACTCAACATTAATCAAAGTCTGATCATTTAACCTTATCCTGACCTATAACTTAACGACACTAAACATTGATCAGTCTGACCGTATTTGGACCACGTGCTCAACAAAGTCTGACCGTATTAGAACCACGTGCTCAACAAAGTCTGACCGCATTTGAACCACGAGCTCAACAAAGTCTGACCGTATTTGAACCACGTGATGCTCTGGTCGTCGCCGCTGTACTCGACGGTGGCAGCGGAGGCCGCTGAGGTGCCGCATTTATGTTTGTTTGCATTGCCGTGTTTGCACTGAAATTCGCAAGATGTTTGTTTGTATTGCAGTGTTTGCACTGAAATTCGCAAAATGTTTTAGGAAGTGCTAAGGTATAAATAATTGGTAAACTAATTAAGAATGTGAAGCTTTAGGATTAGGAAAATTTATTTGTGAATTGCATTTCTTTCCTCATGATGTTCTGACGTTCGATATTGTTTCAGGTTGCAATTTCTTCAATGTACGTATATAGTAGCATCAGTGTAAACATGCCTAAACTCTAATTGTTTAGATCGGATATATATAGGAACGGAGGCAGCATTTCTTTTTATATTGATGAATGTCACGAAATAAGAAGTGGGAGAGTTTATAAGGAGTTTTTATTACGTTTGTAGAAGTAGAGTACGTAGAAGAACCTTTAGATATGTGGTCAGAAGAGAAGATACGCGATAAAATTAAGCTAGAAGATAACATCGATGGGCATCAGAAGTCGGCTGTTTATCGTATGCCCAGAAGACACGAGACAAAGACACGAGCTGGACAAAGACTTCCTCACATTCCATAAAACTATGGGTGAAATAACATTAGTGTTTGGTCACCAGTTCTAGAAAGCATTGTTATTGTCACGCTCATCACAAATGTCAGCGCTAAGCCAAGCCAAATACAGCAAACCCGGGCACGTTCCGAGCTGCTGTTGCCCAGGGTCTAACTGAAGGAATAACCAGGATCGATGAAGGTAGGCTTAGGAGGCTTATAGGCCTCTTTAGAGAACCCGGCCAGAAGTGAATTACAGGCAAGTGCAAAGGATGGAAAGGAGTTCGTTGTTTTTAGTCACGCGATCACTGATGCGTGAAGCTTTTACCACACATTCATCAGTCACTAGACAAGAGGAAAGTCTGCTATATGCTCCTTAAGTTTAGATTTGTCTTGTAAACTCCTGTCCACTGAACTCTTGTCGAGTCTTGAAGATTCGGTAAATCCGACCTTAATTTTGAACATAATAAAGCAGAAGATTGGAAAATTGTCTGTAAATCTCGCCTTCCAGATGTCTTTATTCGGTGTCATGGGAGAAAGCAGATGTGCACGTGTGATCGATGTTAAGTTTTATTGCGATGGCATTCCATAAACAACTTAACCTTGCGCTCTCTTGGGAATCAAAGGCGAGTGGTTTTTATCCATTCATAAAAATATAAGAATGCGATTACCAAAACAATGTACTGAGCTGATAAATTTATTTTTGGGGGTGCATAATTCTGATGAAAGCAACGGTTATTTATTGCGATGTTAAGGCTGGAGTCACAGTATCGTGTGAAACTGAAGGTAAAATGTGGCCAACGTCATCGTTCCGCATTACTGAGCACGTGAAACATATTGCTCGTTCTTGTAATGATTATTGCTCGTTCTTGTAATGGTTATTGTTGCGTCTCTCTTGCCCGCCAACTCATGAAATTCGCTCGTTTGTTGAAAATTTGAATTTTCCTCGAATTATGGAATAATTTATTCACTGGCACGACAATTTTTTCTTATGAACGAACGAAAGATTTTCCAATGTAGCAAAAATTCTACATGTTTGAGTCCACGTTATTAGTTCCGTGATCATCACTTCAGTAGACGGGTTCATGTAAAATTTTGTAACATAGATTAATGTTGACCAGAGCTTCTCAGGTTAAAACAGTCAAGCGTTCAATAAGGTAATTAAAGATAGTTTAGGTGTGCATTATAATTACTTCTATAGATTGTAACACGAACTATTCACTGTCATAGATATTGATGAAGACGGCAGGGAACACCGACGCTACATCTTCAAGAAGCAGGAGTTTAGGACGCAGTCACTGCACATCCTCGCCTCAATGGCAGCTCCAGCAATCCTACAAGGAAAATATTTATATCCTTAATATGCATTAGTCTACACAAGGATTCAATAACAAAGAAAACTCCAAGTCACCTCATCATATCTTCTATGAAGATTTTTCAAAGACCGCTACGTAAAAATGACACCTTTTTGTAGTGATGGAGCTGGTCTCTGAAACGTTTTTATTGAAGATATTGAGAGGTATCTTGGGTATCTTAAAGTTTTCTTAGCGAGCGAATTCATGGTGACCTCGAGGAAAGCCATAAGAAAATAATTTGGATCTATTCTGCGTACCAAATGTGATCACGAAGTTTTGTAGTTGATTTCATAGATATTTAGATGACAATACTCGACATTAATTGCCAAGGAGTTGTAGTCCCTACATCAAATGTCAAATCAATCTAATAACACAAAAAACCTATTAAATATTATCGTGGCAGAGCCTGAATTGGTGATTAGGACCTTATTTTATCCGATAGGAATTTTAAAGACGCAGCATTTGCAGTATCTATCTGCACAGCCTGTCTTCTGAGGCGCATCCGCGTATTGTCCGCAGCCGTTCCAAACGTACTCGCACCAGCCCACGTTGCCCTGTAGGAAACAGCACATTTCATCTAAGTACTAAAGTGTGACGATAATGAGGTAAAATTAACTAAAAAAATATTATTATGGTCAATGCAGGACGTACCGGTTGAAAGTTTAACGCGAATGATATGATCTAATTGAAAAATTTGAACGGTTAAGGACGGTATGAAGCCCAAAGAATAAAATGATCTTTCTTACATGTGGGTATAGCATGGGAAAAATTGTCACCTGACCATCTTAAAGAACCGTCTCTGTCAAATAATCACAATAATATTTACCCAGATAAATGCCCTCACCATGCACATTAATGTCATCATCAGTCACCTAAAGGCCCTCATTATACAACCAAATGCCGTCACCGGCCGGGCACCTAAATGCCACACTATGCGCCTAAATATCACAATTATGTGCTTAAATGCACTCATTATGCACCCAAACGCCCTCACCTTCAAGTCTTTGCAGGAGTTGCAGCAGGGATTCTTCAGTTGACCGTTGATGTACAACTTTATGTACTCTTCAATGGCTGTGGCAATACATAGAAATTGTTATATCAATGTTCGGTCAGCGCTTCAATCAGATGATAATTTCAAATTATAGAAAGGGCTCTTCGTTAAAATGGTGCAAGGCCATTTTAGAAAAGGGAACTCACTTATAAATGAGTTTTGAAGAATATTTAAATAAAAGAATTTCGTGTTCTTTCTATATTCCTGATTCAATACTGGTGAACGTAAAAAATTTTAAGTTGTTCTACAAACATAAGGAAATAAAAGTGCTTCATTAGACTTAGCATAGCATAGCATAGCATAGTGAAGTCGGCGCTGAAGAATAGGCCTGATGCGGCCTGTCGCCGATTTTTGTACTTTTCGTGGCTTGTCCATTGGAGACCTAAAAACAGGTCTATTTACCGGATCTTTTCCAAACTGTCGATAGTTTGAAATATTTACTAGACTTCCACCGGGTTCGATATGGTGCTAGGTATTTCAAGTTTGAACATATATTTCTCCATAGCTTTATCTAGTCTGTTATTGAACGCGTTTATACTCGGAGCGTCAACGATGTATTTGGGGAAGCTGTTGTCGGTGATTCGAAGCGAGAAGAAATGTTGTCGCTTGGACAAGTTGCAACGCAGTTTTTTTCAGCTTATACGTGTGGCCTATGGTGTTGGTTCTTGTTTCAAATTCTAGTAATCTTTCGGGGACCTTCGGGGACCCATGAGTATATTTGTATATTTCAATGAGGTCCCCACGCAGACGTCGATAACAGAGGCTTGGAAGCTTCATAATCTTTAGTCTTTCTTTATTGGACTTGCCATTCAAGCCTGAAATTATCCTTGTTGCATCTCTTTGAACACTCTCCATTTGTCCTTTTCAAGTTTCGGTTACTACACGATGTTTCCAGACTCTAGGTTCGGGCGCACGACAGCAACTAACAACTGCTTCATCGCTTCTGCATCTAGGAACTCGAAAGAGCGTCTGATTAGTCCAAGAAGTGTAATGGATTTATTAGCTTGCGTTTCAATATGTTTAGAAAATTTCAGCTCCTTGTCGACATAAACTCCAAAATCTGTTTCCACACTAGACTTTTCAATCATTACTCGTTGCAACAATGTCTTCTCATATTGTAATCTTTCGCTGTTCATTGTTCTTCCCGAGGTGATGTAGCAGCACTGTGTTCCCGAGCAGCACTTGTCAGCATTAAAACGCAGCTGCCACGTATAAGCCCAGTTAAATAAACTGTCAAGATCATCTTGCAACTGCACTTTATTTGACGTATCCTTAACTGTAATATGAACTTTTGTGTCATCGGCATACATGGAGCACACGCTTGACACTACTTCTGGTCGATCGTTCAAAAAAGCAACGAAGAAAACAGACCCAAGAACACTTCCTCGTGGCACGCCACTGCGCACTGATGTCATGTCATATACGGTTCCGTTAATACTTACATGTTGTCGTCTACCGCCTATAAAATCTCTGATCCATTGGAGTGCATTTCCCTCTATTTCCAAAGACTTCACTTTACGCAACAGCCGCTCATGCGGAACACTGTCAAATGCTTTGGCAAAATCGAGGTACAATGCATCCACTGGCTCCCTTTCGTCAAGCAGGCGAGTCCAATCGTTCAACGTAGATAATAAGTTAGTGGTGCAGGATCTACCGGCAATAAAACCTGTTGACAGTCTGATAGGAGATGGTGAACAGTCAAGTGATCGATAATCCTATCTCTCACAACATATTCCATTATCTTACAAACTACACTTGTCAGGCTGACAGGGCGATAGTTACCAGGGCTACGTTGTCACTTTTCTTGAACGATGGTGTAACTTGAGCTTCTTTCCAATCGGTCGGCAAAGTTCCTTCGTCTAAGTTTTTTGAAATAATACTGCCAGAGGGCCGGCCGACTTGAAGCTGTTGTTCCTTCAATATACCAGCTTCCAAAATGAGTATCAGTATCAACCAGCAACAAAAAGTCCTAACATTATACCGTAATGTTTCTTATGATATATTTACTCATAATAACTCACTGCTCTGCCGTGACTCCTGGACTTCTCCTGTCGCCTGGAACACACGAGAGATAATTTGCTTCAGTTCATCATGCGACTTTTGTTTCTTCTATCCTAGCCTGGACAAGTCCGTTATTGATCAGCAGTGTTAGAAATGTGGTATATTGTTAAGCAGAAAAATCTCCGGACGACCGGCCATGTAATGCAACACAATAACATGCAAATTAAATTCTAAAAGGAAATGAGCTTGTAGAAATCCTGATCAATAAATATGCACGTAGAATACCGCTGTACTCCAATGAACCCTCTTTGTTATATGAGCTATCGATCTTAGGTTCTCAGTTCCCTGCGCAGAACATTAGTTAATTTAAAGGTCCGATATTCCACGGATAAATTCATGATATGTTGTTTATTTTAGCTAAACTGTACAGTAAGCGTTGCTATACCTCGGCGGTGTAGGCGGCGCCCAGCAGCACCAGCATCAGCATCATCAGCTTCATGGCGCTGCAGGATCACAACAAATCAGACTTTTGAAGATTGTACTTAATATTTTCGCAGAAATTCCTTAATTATTACAACTCAAGACATTGGTTAAAATTAGCCAACGAATACGTAGATTAATATTGCATAATGTACAATAATAATAGCACGAATATACCTACAGAGTTGCAGAGTTTTCCTTGCTGAGACTTTGACCGCAGCAGCAGCACTGAGCCCAGCAGCGCCCGTCGCGGGGTTATATGCCCCACGGGGCTTGAGATTCACGGCCATGAGCTTTAGGCCTCAAAAGAAAATTAATGGATTAAATCAAAGTGCCATTCAATTTCATTCAACGTATTATTCTAGTATGACTACTGCTATTGCCTTTGAAGCTCTACACCTGCGGCTTTGAAAAGAATATTCGATGAATAGATTCTTTAGTCGCATGGGAACAATCAATTTCTCGTCACCGATCAAAATGCTCAATGGGGGTGTATGATCTAAGGCCGTGAGCAATAGGCTTCATAGGAAAAATGAATGAATTAAATCAAAGTGGTATTCAGTTCAATTCAACGTATATCTAGAATGACTATTATTAATCTTTTTGAAGGTCTTCACTTGTCGCTCTGAAAAGAATATTCGATGAATAATTTCGTATTGGTGCAATCAATTCCTTGTCGGTATAGTCAACTGTTTCAATTTCTCACGAACATATACAGTGTATACAGTCACGACAGTGTATATACACTGTCAGACGAACATATACAGTGTATACAGTCACGAGCTGCATACTCCTGCTGACGTGTATGTGGCGTGAGCTGCATACTCCTGTCTCCCACCATCCTTGATTGGAATCAAGCTCCAGAAACGTTTACTTTGGTATCTATGCTACATTGACCGCCTATTGCGGTGCACCCGGGACTTTGTCGCGTCCTCCTGAACATTCACACTTAATGTCACGACAAACTTTATAACTCCTAGAGTTTTGAAGCTACAGCAATGAGACATATACCATTCGATTCGCAATTAAAACATCTAGCGATTCTCGAATCATTTTTTTCGATTTCATTTTAGTTTTGAAAATATTTTGAAAAAAAGAGAGAAAAATTAAAAAATTTGTTGAAAAATCGAAAAATGTCAGAAAAATCATCATAACAAGAGAACCAAGGAAAAAATTGAAAAAGTGTTTCGAAAATCGCTAGATATGGTCTTTTCGCATCGAATGATACGTGTCTCGATGTTGTAGCATATAATTTGCAACAGTCATAAATTTTTTTAGAGTACCCCCTTTTTGGCCGTTTTCTATGAATTTCACGTTTTCTTTCACTTTTTTCAAAAAATTCTTACGAACAAAATAGTAATCATTTTTGATTTTACATATGTGTACCAAGTTTGGAGATGATTCTACTATATATGTAGAAAATAGATTTTTGCCTACGTGCTCCCCTTTTAATTAATTAATTAAGCAATCTCCTCCTACAAAAAGTTTGGAAAGAAATATCAACAACATTTTAAAATGCAACAAAATTTGAGTTGGAAAAAATATAATAGTTTGATCTTCAAAAAAGAACTCGAAATATCCATGTGTATCCTATCTAAATAACGTTAAAGAAGCCAATCAAACATCAAGTGTTTGAAAACAATTCAGGAAACTGCGCAATTGTGAAGATTTCCTGGAGGCGTAGCACAAAATTTTACTAAAGGCAGAGATAATCTAATACTAGCTTTAGTATTATTAGGAATATCTTACCTGGACTCCACTCCCCTGTCTACTAATTGGCCGACTAATCTAGACACTGCGTCCCTACTCCCTATGCGCTTCACGTCACCTGAACTTGTTCCGAACGCAACGGGTGGATAGCTAGAGGTCAGCATAGCCCAAGTCCACAGTGCGATTCATATACCTTCCCGAGCGTAATGCAGCCGGGCATCTTCACGGCTTTCGACACATAGCGCTCACCACAACAGCGCCGTTCAGTCACTGCTTCACAGCGCTGGAGCACAACTGGCCGGAGAGCAACAGGCCCTACCGCAACAGGCTACTCCTAAAGTAACCTAACCTAACATAACCTAACCTAACCTAACCTGCGCCGCTTGTTGCGGTAGGGCCTGTTGCACTCCGGCCAGTTGTGCTCCGGGGCTGTGAAGCAGTGGCTGTGTTGTGCAAAGCGGATTTACTGTTAGCCGGAGTTACCCACAGCTCATTGATCTGAGGCTGTGTAGATATTGCATGCTGATGGTTGGCGTTATGCCCAGGGCCTGTTTACGAGTCAATTTTGTTACCCACGGCTTTGCTCCCTAACCTAATAAACTCGACTCACATTCGTACGGTTCCCTTAAGTGCCATCGAAGCCTTAGTTAAGACTTAAGAGTAACATTTTTGACTCGGTACTCAGCCATGCATACATCGACAGGTTTGCGGTGTTTGTCCGACCACTAATTAACTGCCATATCAGTTAGTGACTGTTAGTCAGACAAATTTTGCTAAATCTGCAATTAACTCAATTTAACTTGTAACTGTCTATGGCCCTATATTAGCAGTAAAGGGCTAACTTGTCATTCTTCAACCCTTGTTTTCGAAATGATTCGTATCGTAATAGAAAAACTTGTTTTGTCTTAAATAATTAAGACAAATCTCGTCTTGTCTCGTTATGTCTCGTTTCAAATCAGTCTGTCTCGTCCCTGTTCATAATTTACCGGGACACAAGTTTTAAAGTCCGGGACAGAAGTCTTGTCTCGGTTCATACGTACGTTTATTCCGGGACAAATTTTACCCTCTGTTCCGTTATTTTTTCCCAGAATTTTCTCGTCTCGTTTCGTCTGTCCCGGTTCATTTCGAGAAAATTATTTCGAGAAGCAGTAGTCTATATGCTGTAGAATTTGTGTTAGGATAATACTGACTGAATGGCTGCAATCAATGCCCAGTTATTGCTGTAGAATTTGTGTCAGGATAAAACTGACTGAATGGCAGCAATCAATGCCCAGTCATTGCTGTAGAATTTGTGTCAGGATAATACTGACTGAATGGCTGCAATCAGTGCCCAGTCATTGCTGTAGAATTTGTGTCAGGATAATACTGACTGAATGGCTGCAATCAATGCCCAGTCATTGCTGTTTTAATAGACTCCTGCGTTTGGTATTCTTTTTATCCGAGACGAGACGAGACAACAGGCTCTGTCCCGGTTCGCAATAAGAACCGGGACAATTTTCAGCCCTCCGTAGGAATTCCGGGACGATACCGAGACGAGACGAGACATCCCGGTTAAAATAGGTACCTTAAAATTTCCCGGAATTTATAGCCATTTTAACGAGAAATAACGAGACCCAACGAGACTAACCAATTATTGATGTGGTGTAAACTTTGGCTTACCGTCATACATTTATACAGAGCTGGGCAGCGCTACTTTAAAATGTAGCGGCCGCTACCGCTACAATGGCTTAAATGTCGCGCCGCTACCGCTACCGAAAATGTAGCGGCCGCTACATGTAGTGCGCTACTGCCCACCTCTGGTAACAATAAACATGTTGACACTAGCAACAGGCTGAGGTTGACAACATTACACCGAAATCTTTCGTACAGTTTTATTCTGTAATTTATATTATGTATGTATCATGCTGGTTTTTAAATAATATTTAATACAATTAAGTAAAATCTAAAGGCTTTATCTATAAATGTAGCGGTAGCGGCAAAACCTCGTATCGCTACTTAAATATGTTGTATCGCTTAAATATTGTAGCTGCCGCTACAATTGTTTAAATGTAGCGCTGCTACCGCTACTGAAAATGTAGCGCCGCTACCGCTACTGAAAATGTGGCGACGCTACCGCTACCGCTACTGAAAACGTAGCGCCGCTACCGCTGCTGAAAATGTAGCGGCCGCTAGTAGCGGTCGCTACATGTAGCGCGCTACTGCCCACCTCTGCATTTATATAATAGCTTGAGATGTATCCTTTTACTATTCTGATTGGAGCTCGGCAATTGAAATGATTTTTGCTACGAATACATGTTGTGGTTTAATATGGTACTTAATCTTGACAGGCAAATAAAAATGGAAAACACGTTTTTTTTCAAAAATTTTGTTCTATGATGGTTTGGAGCAGGCCTATACTAGCTGTAGCTGGTGACATCGGGTGACTGGACAGACTTTGATTTGCCTCCAGCTCAATCACAGAATCAGATTCATCGATCTTGCCTTAAGCAATCTCCTTCTACAAAAAGTTTGGAAAGAAATATCAACAACATTTTAAAATGCAACAAAATTTGAGTTGGAAAAAATATAATAGTTTGATCTTCAAAAAAGAACTCGAAATATCCATGTGTATCCTGTCTAAATAACGTTGAAGAAGCCCAAGTGTTTGAAATCAATTCAGGAAACTGCGCAATTGTGAAGATTTCCTGGAGGCGTAGCACAAAATTTTACTAAAGGCAGATATAATCTAATACTAGCTTTAGTATTATTAGGAATATCTTACCAGGACTCCACTCCACTGTCTACTAATTGGCCGACTAATCTAGACACTGCGTCCCTAATCCCTATGCGCTCAACGTCGCCTGAACTCGTTCCGAACGCAACGGGTGGATAGCTAGAGGTCAGCATAGCCCAAGTCCACAAGGCGATTCATATACCTTCCCGAGCGTAATGCAGCCGGGCATCTTCACGGCTTTCGACACATAGCGCTCACCACAACAGCGCCGTTCAGTCACTGCTTCACAGCGCNAAAGCCCAGTCACTGATGTAGAATTTGCGTCAGGATAATACTGACTGAATGGCTGCAATCAATGCCCAGTCATTGCTGTAGAATTGAAATACATTTTTTGGTGTTACCATCAAACATTTGAAGGCTTCGCCAACAAGGAGCGTCAGCCTTAAGTGCCAACCATATTGGCAGTGTCAGCCTGGAGAGTCAACCAATATTGGCAGCCATCGTCAGCCTGGAGGGCCAACCAATAATGGCGGCCATCGTCAGCCTGGAGGGCCAACCATTATTGGCGGCCATCGTCAGCCTGGACCGCTAACAGAAGATTGGCGCCCATTGACCTGGAGGGCCAACCAATATTGGCGGCCATCGTCAGCCTGGAGGGCCAACCAATATTGGCGGCCATCGTCAGCCTGGAGGGCCAACCAATATTGGCGGCCATCGTCAGCCTGGAGGGCCAACAAATATTGGCGGCCATCGTCAGCCTGGAGGTCCAACCAGTATTGGCGGCCATCGTCAGCCTGGAGGGCCAGCCAATATTGACGGCCATCGTCAGCCTGGAGGGCCAACCAATAATGGCGGCCATCGTCAGCCTGGAGGGCCAGCCAAT